CTGCTGGGATCCCTGGCACTCTATCACTTTGATTTTTTGAAATAATTTTTTTTCTTGGAAAGGAAATGCACTGGCATTTTAAACTGGATATATATTTAGAATATTCAGCTTTATCCCATTTGGCAATTAAAGATTTATACATAAACTCATCATGACATGATAAATATGAACACAATATTTACTTCTATTTGTTGATTCTTGAGAATGTTTAAATATTTGAACACCTAAATATACACTAACACCCTGAGAAAGCATTTTGTATAGAAACTCATAGTCCAAATTAGAAAAAAAAAAAGTTTACATGGTAATACTTTGGAGAGCAAAGCTATTCCTGAATCTATACTTCTGAGAAAACATGAAACAAAAATGAAATTTAAATGGGTCATAAGCAGACCTTTTTCAAAAATAGCCAGTTGGAAGCTTTTGCTTCTCTCATGTCAGCACATTTGTCTATCTGATCTGTGACTCTCCAAGAGGGAAAATATTTCAGTTCGGGATCATTATTCTCCTTTTTGTGTGATATTTTAATCTAATGTTATTGATTTATGTAAGATATGTATTTAATGACCCTGATTCAATATGTACATATCTGTGTTAATCAACTTTTTATCCCTGTAACAAATACCTGAGAAAAACAACYTAAGGAGGAAAGATTTATAGAAGTTTCAGTCCATGGTTAGCCTGCTCAATTGTTTTGGGCCTGAGATTAGGTAGAACATCATGATAGAAGGATTAGCAGAGGACAGCTGCTCACCTCATTGGTAGCTGAGAAGCAGAGAAAGAAAGAAAGGAGAAGGGGCCAGGGACAACAACCTTCCAGGGCACAACCCCTGCAACCTATTTTCTCCAACCATGTTCCACCTGCCTACAGTTTCTACCATCTCCCCATAGTCCATTCAAATTATTAATCTATCAAATGGGCTAATCCACTGATGAGGTTAAAGCCCTTCTGATCCAGTCATTTCCTAAAAGCTCAACCTCTGAACATTGCTACATTAGGTAGGGACCAAGCTTTCAATACATGAGACTTTGGGGGACATTCCAGATCCAAACTATAACACATCCTAATGCTATATTATTCTGGGAATATACATGGCTTCTTTCTTTATTGTTTATTATTATTATTGTTAATTCATAAGGCTTGCCTTATAAGTCATTTAATAATGTTCATTACTAAAAATCATCATTAAAATGTCACCAGTATACCATTTTRTACATATCATGTATGGCTAAATGGATTCCCTTGGAGAGTATTACATCACCATTCTTGAAATACTAAAATTCAATGAAACATGATTCTTGATTCAATTTGTATAAATATTTGTTTTTACCCAGTTATTTATTTTTTAAAATTTATTGTGGATGTACAAGGCCAGGCATGGTGGCACAAAACTGTAATACCAGCAGCTCAAGAGGCTGAGGCAAGAGATCAAAGCCAACCTCAGCAACTTAAAGAGGCCCTAAGCAACTCAGCAAGACCATGACTCTAAATAAAATATAAAAAGGGCAGAGGATGCAGTTCAGTGGTTAGGCACCCCTGGGTTCAATCCCCAGTACAAAAAAAAATTTAAAAAACACAATGGTGAGATAAAGGGGAATGAAGAGAAGGGAGGGGGTGTGGGTAAAGGAAAGACAGTGGAATGAATCTGATATCACTTTCCTATGTACATACATAAATATATCAGATTCATTCCACTGTCTTTCCTTTACCCATACCCACTCCCTTCTCTTCATTCCCCTTTATCTACTCCACTGAACTTCTATTCTTCCTCCCAATCCCTTATTGTGTGGGTCAGTTTCCACATATCAGAGAAAACCTTTGACCTTTGGATTTGGGGGATTGGCTTATTTCACTTTGAATGATAGTGTCCAGATCTATCCATTTACCAGCAATTGTCATAGTTATTCTTCCTCATGACTGAGTAATACTCCATTATGTATATATACCACATTTTTTTATCCATTCATCTGCATAAATATATTAAATATTTGTTTTAATCTGAAATTTAATTGTAGAACTCCACTAAGATTTATTTCCTTTAGAATAATGCTGAGGAATTATCTACACTGTTTTATAGTCCTGTGATAAACTTGTTACTTTTTTGTTTCCAAGGAGGAATAACTGAGAAAGTGAGTTACATTATTGATTTGACCATGACAAGAAGTAGGCCTGCTTACACTCCTCTGTAGTTTGACCAGTCTCAGCAGGGTCTAGGCAGTATGCACATTTGCCTGCTTTGGATTCTTTATATTTTTTTCAGTCTTGTATTTTAAAAGAATGTAATTTACTTTCTTTGGCTTTGGAAATCTAGATTACAAACAAGAATCTGTATCATCTTTAAGAATAATCTTACTAATGCATTTAACTGTTTTTAACTATAGGAATTTAGAATGACAGATTTTGTTACTTCTAATTAGGCCACTGTTCCAAAATTGTGAAAGATCATGAAAAAAAAAATATATATTGTGTAAAGCCAAACTGGATTTGCTTTAATATAGTTTAAAATGTTTCACCATCTGCACTTTACTTTTCATGATTACCATCCTTTTTTTTTTGTCCCTCCTCACTAAAGATTGGATTTCTGTTCCCCTCCATATTTTTGCTTATGTGCCCTCATAACACAGGACTCTGCTTCCTTTTAGGGTAGGAAGAGGAAGTCAAACTGCCACATTCTCTAAGAGCTAGCTTGTCAATGTCACCATTTTTATGAGAATATTCCCAATTAATCATTTGGTAGAATTGAATAATGTTGACTATCACATTTTTGAGCATCCAAAATTCTAATGGACATGTAACATACATTTTTTCTATTCTGTACAGTTTGGCAAAGCAGGAATTATTTCCCCTTTACACAGATCAGGAAACTAAGTTCAAATGAATTTTAAAAACTCTGCCAAGGGTTCAGGATTTATGGGTCCTGAACCATAAATGGGACTTTCAGGGTCACATTCTCCACAGAGCCATGGAGCTAGACTTCTCTCACTGTGCCTCACATCCTACATGACCTCATAATATTTTCTGATTTGGGTATAAGCTATAAAAAAATAAATGTAAGCTTATAGTTAGTGTTTAAAAAGAGCCATATTAAAATGAACTGATGATTTGTAAACAGTTGAATTTTACTAAAGAAAAACAATGTATTTTACAAGTCTAGCTCCTGAAAAAGTTAATGGCTCTGAGTACTTAACCTAACAAATGATATGTTGATTTAGTTAACCCTTTCATGTTTTTTCTAATATCTCACAATTTATCTCTGTTTCCCCTTCTGTCTTCTTACAGCCCCTCATTCTATTTAGCAGATTCTTTAAGCAGCACTCCTCCACAGTTCCTCAAGAGTTGCCAAGACATATTTCTGAGGAAATTTTCAACATAGCTATTTATTAATAAAGTAGTCTTAATATGTCTTTCCCTTACTGTGCTATTATGTTACCATATCAAAATGTTTTACTCAGTTGTTTAACTTCTATGATTATTCAGTTTAAAGCTATATTGTATAATTGTACAATTCAACACTTTTTTCGGGTCTGCTATCCAATGTATTCCATCTGGCAGCTAAAAGGGCACATTAATTCTCTAGACCCTAAGATGTTTTCAGGCACTGCCCTATTCACTGGGACTCCAATGATGAGCAAACAACAGACTCTGCCCTCAAGTAGACCACATTGCTACTTACAAAAGAGCAAGTCTCTCTCTTCAGTATCTCGTCATCATTTTACCTATACCTGTTTGTGATTTGGACTATATTATTTATAGACTCATAAACTGCCAGCACTTAAATAGTTACTGTGAAACCATCTTACTTTATTTAATGAGGAAACTAAGGCACAGAGGTTAAATGACTATCTAGAAGACACTGAGACCAGTTTTACATCCAGGTCTTCCCAGTCCTAATTGTGACACCCTTTCTTCAGCTATTTGTCACATTAATCTTTAATTTTGCTTTCCCCATCCTATACACAGATAATCTGGTCTGAAGGCCTAGAATTAGGCAAGGACTTTATCATAGTTGGTTGTTCCCCACCACAGTTAAAATATAGGTTCTTAAACTTAAATGAAGAATTCAATTATAAAGGAAATGCTATCTTGGAAATATGGAGAGAATACAAAGAAGCCATGCATTCAGGTATCTCATCCATCAGTCTTGCTTTACTGAAATTGAGAAAACAGGTAGTAGTTATGTCTTTATGGCTGTACTGCACTGACATGCATAATCTCACAGCAAAACAGAATTCTCTGAACTCATAGAGCTTACATTATAGTATGTCAGATGATGGAGAAAAAAATGGAATATAAAGGTCTAAGAGAAGGAACAAGGTGACCCATTAGAAGACAATTGCAATAGTGTAGTGAGGGAGAATAGCTCTTAAGCCACAGATATCTATGAATTTACTAAGAAATTGTCATCTTTGGGTTATATTTTAAAGATAAAGCCGACAGGATTTCCTAACAGATTGGATGTTGGGTAGGAGAATAAAAGAAATGTCAAGAATGACTCCCAGATTTGTGGCACGAGAAACCAGAAGAATGGAGTTGCCTGTGTGCTCCACTGAGGCATAATTTAGCAATGTCATTATTGTGTTTGGTTCTGGAAATCAACATAAGAAAGAAATTTCCCCCATCTCAAAGTGCCTCTAGTCTTGTAGACAAGATATACATATGCACATAATTATAATACTTCTTGGTTTTTTATCATATAATACTTGTCAGCATAGTGCTATGGAAGCATATGGGAAGGAGTAATTCCCTCCAGTAACGAACACGAGGAAAGGCTTCAAAGCAGAACTTACAGCTGAGCCTGGTCTATTCTTATTATTCTTGAGTTTGGCATTAAATGTTACATTATATTCATAGAGTCAGAACAATTTGAGTAAACCAGGTTAGCAGTTTTTTGGTCCCATTTCCTACTGTGCTTRTACATGATTGACTAGGGGGAGAAATGTCAAAATTGAGTACTCTTCTGACTTAAGCCTACATATATAAATTCAAACATATTATTTACCATTGCAGGAGCTTTCTTCCTCTATGCTGGATTTGCAGCTGTGGGACTTCTTTTCGTCTATGGCTGTCTTCCTGAAACCAAAGGGAAAAAATTAGAGGAAATTGAATCACTTTTTGACAACAGGCTATGTACATGTGGCGCTTCAGATTCTGATGAAGGAAGATATATTGAATACATTCGAGTAAAGGGAAGTAACTATCATCTTTCTGACAATGATGCTTCAGATGTGGAATAGTTATCAGTTGCTGATACCTTTAGTTATTTAAACAAATGTTGGGGAGAACAGCAATTGGTGACCTCACTGCCCTGCTTTTAATCTGATTCTTTCCACAGTCTCATCCTGAATGACTTCCTATTCTAGAATACTTGATTAGGAGGTAAATGCAACCCTTATGACTTTTTTTTTAACAAGCAAAAATTTTAGAAAAAAATTTACAGAGATTTTAATCTAATAATTCTTCAGCTTATATTAATTCTTTAATCTAATAATTCCTTCCTGAGATAGTGTAAAATAATATTGTACCCAGTGACTTCAGTGGCCCCTTTTCCCCTAAGACCATATATAATTATTAGTGACAATAGAGTCAATACTAATATAGCCAAATTACATAAATACACTTTTAAAGAATAATGTGAAATGGTCCAGTAGTGTTTTATGTCAAAACATAGCCTATTGACCCTAAATTTTCTTAATGAGTAGTGGCTTATCTGTGATCCGCTATTAGAAAGTAAATTTTTTTAAAAGTTTCATCAACAGATTCAAAAGTGTATCTTAGGAGGGCACAGCTGTCCTTATCTCTTTTGGATACCACATTTTGATTTTTCTCTCCAGATAATGCAAATTCTTCAGAGACTGATTCTACACAGGATCTTTTGAACATATCAAAAGCAGGTCTTTTTAGGGGTTATTTTCATACTTTTTTTTGCTTTAATGATATTTGCACAGATAAGCTAGCAAGTTTTGATAAGTATATTTTATTGTCAAAGAAAGAAAGAAAGAAGATTTTTATAGATCCCTAATTCATAAGTCACTTAAGAATGCAACTATAAATGCAAATAGTGCCAGATCTTTAACTGTATTTCAGGGTCAATTTTTGTTCATGCCAAACCCACATCTTCACTCATTGGTTCTGAATCCACTCTTTTGTGCCTTCATTGGTATTATATAAATAGCTGCTAGCAGACTATTTTTCTCTTTCTTTTAATCCAGTAACTTCTGAAATGAGAGGAAGGAAATCAGTGGCAGAAATAGTCCTGCTGTTATTGATGTTTCTTTAATTAAAATCATGGGACTTATTTTTTTAACTTTTTATTAACTCTTCCTAAGTTAATTATCACATTTAATTGTAATTGTCTTTTTCTTAACTCCATAAACTAGTTTTTATTTTGCCATCTTCTCACATTTTTTCTGATAATTTTCCAAAAAATACCAAGATATATAGATTTGGCTCTGTGTGAGTGTATGTGTGAGGATGTATGTGTGTTTGTTAATGCTTGGTTTGATTTTCCTTCTTGTCTAAAAATTGAGATTTTTTTTATTGGAACAAATTAATGGTCCTAATATATCACATGTTGAAATGTTGACTACTGCATTTCTATAATGTCTTTTCAAAGTATTCATTAGTTTCTGTGTTCATTCATCACTGAACTCTAAATTCTTACCCTTCCATCAATAAATATTTAATACATACAAAATTACTTGCTTACAAAATCACTTGCTGATTTCACTAAAAACATGAATGAATCTTCTGTGGCCAGTTAGGAATGCCATCAGTTTGATGCATTGTAATAGTACATTTAATAAGGTACTATATCTTAAGTGAAAAGCTGGCTTTTGATAAATTCAGTCTTCAGTTGCCATGACAATTGTCAAACTGAGAATTTAGACAAGGAAGTTCACTCTAAGTCACCAGAAGTACTTAAGCAGTTACTTTAGTGCCCTAAAAATCCTTCAACAAGAAAATTTTCTCCATTTGGTCCTTTCATATTATTAAAAAAACATGAGTTTTAGAGAACAGTGTTTCCTTGAATTAGGTGCTTTAGCGATTGATTTCTAAGGGAATATCAATATTGATTTTTCCCCAGAAAAGCAGATAATAGGGAAATGTATTATTTTATTAACATGGGATAATAAGAAATGTCTTATCTGTGTAAAATATTATACAGGTAAAGTGAAAATAAGCTACTATGTGATACARTCAATATTATGGGGAGAAAAACAGTAAAGTTTTCTCTTTAAAATTTTATTTTTCAGATTTGTTCAATATTGCCTCAGTTCTTCTCTTATTGCATATATAGCCTTAATTATAAACTTATACTCAGCTGGGCTGATGCACAGTAACTTTATTAAAGAAGCAACTAGACTCTTGCTTTTTCTTACCATGGCCTGTTCTCCCTGAAAAGAAAATGATGTTTTCAACTTTATATCCAAAAATGAAATAATACCAGGGAAAATCAGCCACAGTTCTCCTGTCCAATTTCCTTCAGCTCCTCCTTTAAAGGACTATTTATTATTTATGTAATGATAATAATATTCCATATCTTTGAAGACAGAGAGATATAGTATAAGAATTATTTATAACTTTTTAAAAAAAAATAATAACTCCTTGAAAAGGAATCTTACACAGTTAGGGTATTTTAGATTTGGTGAACATTTATAATACATTAAAATTAAAATATATGAATTTTGCAAGTTTTTTTAATATTATCACCTTTTAAGTTTTCAGTGCCTTTGGCTACCACTATCAACTTGAAAGCATCTCATTTGAAATATAATCAAATATATATTTTGTAGGACAATTTACATAATGTTATTTGACCTACCTATTAAATCACAGATTAAGCATCATGGTTTCAATTGAAATTATTTATAGTAATTTCCTCCTAATATGCTGCAAATTCAACAGAGGTATGTGATGGTTTAAGAAAATATAATGAAGAAGGTCATAATCACTGATGAGGCTAGGTAGAGAGCTGTTCTGCATTAGAATTTAAAATATTTATTTTGTCCATATATAGGCCTGAATGTGATATCAAAAAAGATATTAATATCTTTCTTCAAGGTAAACATACCTATTAATTTTGATTATTGCACCTAACTTAGTCAATGATTTAAAACATGATTGTTTTTAATATATATATTTATAGATGGAAAAAAATTTCCATTTGTGCTTTTGTTCCCAGCCTAATCATTAGTAAGTTCCTTAATAGAAAATTATCTGAGAATACCTCTAAAGTCTTTTCATAACTTAATTTTACTACTGAACTAGATTTTAGTACATATCTAAATATTACTTTGTACATTATTCACACTAAAATGAGAAATTAGTTCAAACAAAGAATTTATAAATTTCTTACTATAACTTCAGTATCTGTTAAATAGGGCAAGAATGATCAGGAAAAACACAAGTTGGCAACTTTACCCTTTTGGTTTTCAATAAAAATTAAAATGGGGCTAGGGGGAGAGAATGATATTTTAGGATGATATTTTAGAAAATACTATCCATATGTAATCTTAAAAATCTCACATCTTAATTATACTAATACAGTTCACTACTACAGTGGGGAGTTTGCAGGATTGTTGTGATTTGATTTTTATCAGCACAATAATTAAGTATTATTATGTTTTGTTATCAAATTTTACTATTTTCAAAGTTATAGCAAATTATATTAAATACCTGACTTTTATTCTGGTGTGGTAAATTTTCAATTATACATTCAGACCTTTTCACTTATTAGTAATAAAATAATTAAACATAACCAGGCTAAGAAAAGAGAATTTATAGTGTATGTTTTATAGCAAACTATTAAATTATGGGTAAAATTTACAGCTGACATAGATGCTACCTATAAAAAAGATTCATAATTATTCTCTGGATTAATTTTAATGTTCTTTATTCTGTCACTTTCTATAAATTTTTTAGCCTCATGTATAGTAATGTTAAGCTAATTTGATGAAGTGGTTCAGATTGTAGCAGTATATAAACTGTTGGTACATTCATTTCTTCTAGGTGAGCAATACTGCTGCTATTGTCTAGAAACAGCCATCATTTAAAAATGCCAAACAGCTAACTGCTAACAACTCTTTCTTGTATATCATCTCTCTTTAGAGAAGGAAATTTTTGTATGCCAAGTGTTGATGTTCGAAAGTACAYGAAAAGGTATTTTATCTTCATAACTTGCTTGTGAGTGTAAAACAGCATAATTCCTATAAATCTTTTGTGTGTATAAAATACAGTCTGTTGTACTTGAATAATTTGGTCTACAGAATTTCAAATACCTTCATTTAAAAGTAAGTCACATTTTTGTTTTAGACAGTTCATGTGTTTGATTTTGTCATATCAATATAAATGAGAAAAAGAAATGGACTGTGCAGCTAACTAGTACTTAAAATCACAACAGTGCTTTGTGCAGTTTTAAGACATTAGCAAATTTAACATTATTCCATTTCATTTAAAGATCAAAAAAGATCAGACTTTAACTCTGGCCAAAGTAGAAATTTATGTTCTACATGTCGAAATTGTTTCCTAGCAGCTTTTGRACTATATCTCACATGATGTTATAGTATCTTTTATTTGTAATAAATGTTCGGATTTCTCTTTAGAAGCTCTAATGTACATCTAGATAAAAACGGTTTTATGCTTTTAAAAATGTATGTATTTCAAACTGTATATTTTAATTTGAGTGCATGTTACATAGTGTTACTTCATATGTCTTGGCAAATTCAATATATTTATTCTCACATGTGACATGGGATATYGATGAAAAATTATGAATATGTATTATTTCCTTAAATCATCCTAACCTATGCTGTATCAAAAGTATTGTATATTTTATGGAGATTTAGTGCTATACATGTATATGTTTTTTAAGTTATTTTATTGAAGTTCAATCTTTACATAAAATTTAAATCTTTTTTTAAAAAAAATGTCAGTGCCACAACTGTAATGAAAATAATCCAATAAAAGTTAAAATAATTCATTACTCATAATTCCCTTGTACTTTTTTCTATACTTCTCTTCCTTGGATTTTAGTATACAGGTTACAATATTTAAAGCAGTCTACTTCTACATATTAATGCAGTTCTATCTATTTTAATATTTCTTTCAATTGAAAGAAACTGAAAAATATTTATTTAAATAAAAAAATGTTTAATATTTTAGATAATTCAGTTGCCTTCAGAAATTTTTTTTGGTTGTCACTTTGTGAAAATGAAAACAAAATATCTGCTGAATGGTCAGCTGAAGAGGTCCTTCTTTTGCTTTCCATTGCTATTCTGTCTTAATCATAGCTTTTATTAGCAAAGAAATACATGCTTGATATGGGCAGTCACCAGACCCATCTCCATAGTTAGTTAGATGAGTGTTACTCTGAGTTATTTCTATAGTCATGCTTAAAGAGATCAATCATCTCAAGACACTTGGCATACAGTCATTTAGGGGTTTCTATGCAGTTGCTTCTAACCAAAGAGTTTAATGTCAGCAGTAAAGAAAAATCCTATGGTCAAAATTACTCTTGCAGATGCCACACATAAATTGTCCACTTACCTGAACAAGGACACCTAAATAGAACACATCTAGTTAGTGGTCAGAAAATCCTCATTTAATTGTCCAGTCCTATGGTATACACGGTGTTATCCTTTTCTGCTTCTAAAGCTTAAATTCAGAACATTTTTGTGACTTACTCAAGATCACACAATAGGAACTGATGTAAATTTCTCTTTGGTTGCTACTCCAGCCACTGCTGGAGTAGATTATTTGGAACATCATCATATCACACCTAGGCATACAGATTAAAAAACAGACAAAAAAGAATTCTTGCATCATAAATTAAAGAGTATCCAGAAAAATAAATAAATACCTCAATTTAACCAGAACTACAGAACAAATCCTGGAGACCCTTGACTTCATGATCCTTTTAAAATGTGAGGCAATAACATAGAACACTGTTTGAGAGGTCAGATTGAATTCAAATTGTCTAGATTTCAATACCAGCTATTCCATTGCCTGGTAGCCTAAATTACTAATCTTAGTTAATCTTTGCCTCACTTTCATTTTCTACAGAACAGAGATGAAGTTAGTATTTACTACACAGTTGTAAAGGGTCTGTCAACCATGTAAAGCACGTAGAGCAGCAGTATATAGTAAGGGATAGATAACAGCTGGCTCTTCTTAGTCTCATCACACATGTTCTATCTCTGATCCTGCTGCTAACAGCATGATGTTCAAAACACAGGCAATTTGCTTACCAAGTCCCTTCCTGGAAACAACTACTACAGTCTTGACATATAGCATCCCTGCTGACCAGAATTCTTTGAGCTGATCTAGCCTAATTGCCCCCCTTCTTTTTTCCACTTTTTTTCCATAAGCATGCTCAAAGGCACAGCTAATGAAAACCACAGGATTCCCAAATTTTTTCTAAGAAGAAATATAAGGTATAAAGGAAACAAAGGAAAAACAGACTATAGCTTTAAACTGAAAGCCACATGCTAAAGTTCCTCATACTTTTTTGTGCTCAAGTAAGTTTTGTTCCCAAGCCAGTCATTTCTAAGTTTCTGGGATCTTAAAGTTACGGCAGATTCACTTTTTTAGAAAAATTGTCCTGTACTATACACAAACATATGTTTTCAGAATAGAATAAGCAAAGGGAGATGTTTTCAGAAACCTATCCTAATAGGGAATATTCCAATTGTTATCTTATTGATCAGGTAATAGAAATGACATCCACCTAAAGATTCTGAGATCAGCCATCACAACAAAAGCTGTCCTGTGATCACCAGACTGATACCCCACCCACATTTCCATGACCACTGCTCACAAAATTTCCTTTAAAAAAAGAGCCCTAGACCACAAAAGCATATCTGTCTCAATCTAGAGGTATTCTGTACTTTTCTCCCTTGAATACATATTCCTTGCTTTTCTGAATAAATCTGTGCCTCTATCTGATGTGCCTTGAAATTCTATTGTGTAAGAATCATAGCTTCTAGAACAGGAGTCCCCTGTGTTTCTCCTTTGCTAGCAAGCAATACAACTTTTTTCCTTTTTCTCAAAACCATGTTCTCCTTATTGGATTGGCATCAAGAACAAGGACTGAACTTACTGCAAAAAATTTGGTACCCCAATTGGAACCCAAGAGCAGCCCCTGTTCCAACTTTCTTGGGCAGACTAGCTCTCCAAAGAACCCCAATTCCATGCTAAGGATGCAAGGTGCTGACAAACTTGTTAAGAGCCAACAGTAGGAGAGTTAGGAGACAGATAAGTTTACTTCTGAACCAGAGATGCTATTCCTGTGAGTAAAGGGAGGGACTGAAGGACCATCCCAGCAGCTGCCAAAGCTCCTTTTGCTTTGGGGAACTCCTGCCTTCTCTCCCTGAATGGTAAAGGTTGCTCCATCATGGTCTACACTGAGAAAAAGGAAACTGAATTCAGTAAAGTTGTGACACCATTGGCCATTAGATAAGTCACCCAGTGTGCAAGCCAAGACCCTTGATTCCTCACATCTGGGCCCTTTCTATGGGGACATGTGGTACCACTCATGTGGGGAGTCATGGTTAAGTGGGACTCAAGAACCTCAGGATACTTACTCCCTTCTGATCTGTTGTAGGTTCTCAACTGTTTGTTGGCCTTGAGTTTGAGAACTGTTGTCTTGTGTTTTTGCCTATATCTGTTACTGCCCCTTTTAAGACATGGCCAATAATGCACTAATCCTATAGGTAGTCTCTTGAGAAAGATCTTGGCTGGAACTTAAATGTTCCTGTCTGTTGGCCATGGTTTTGGGGCTCTTTGGTAGTGTCTGTTTCTTTTTTGTACAGTCTTTCAATTGAAGTTGGTCTGTCAGAGGTAAAGTTGAAGGGCCACTTATAGGTATAAGCCTGTCTAATATAATATTTTACTCTAACTATATCTGGCTTTCAAATAGCTTTCTGGATTAGTATACAATCTTGCAGTTAGAATTGATCTGTCAAAGAAAGGGAAAGTAAATGGAAGAAATCTGTACACACAATGTCTATTTTAAAGGTTCCCATCTGTCAGCCCTGGTTGATGATCCTCTCTCATCTGTTTTGTTTTTTTTGTATCTGTTACTGGCTCAGTGGTCTCCTGAGCAAATAGATCTTGGCTGAATGAGCAACCTATAGGTATAAGCCTAAAACGATTTACTATAACACAATCTAGCCTTTGAAAGGTTTTTCTGGACTATTACACAATCTTGACATTGAAGGTTTCTGTCAGGGTTAAAGGATATGAAATACATTCTGTATGTACAGGCATTTATGTAGTTGCATAAGGAGTCTGAACTGTCAAGAACTAAGTTGAAGGTGCCAAAAGGCAATGCAAGGATATCAGGGGTCAAAAAGATTTAAATCTTTTAAACTCAGTGCTGGCACTCCCAAATCTGTTTTTCAGCCTGACCCCGGGCAGCCACAGATCATTTCACTGTAGTCAAAGATACTAGCCCTAAACTGTGGGGGGAAAAATCCCCGAAAAGCTGCCTGGGCTATAGAAAAACGGCTAAAGGGAACCTGGCCTTTACCCTGCCTTCCAGCCCCTTCTGCCCATGAAGGTGGAAGCTGCTGGCCACAAAGAATGTATCAGTAGGTTTCAGCACTGTTAGTTTATGATGAGGGGACAGGTATAGTCTCCCCTTTTTAAGATCTGACAGGACACCCCATTTGGCCAGGGGACATCCATCACTGGAGCAAAGAAGTTCTTGCTATAACAGTATCCTATCAGATAACTAAATATGTGGAAAAACTGGCAAGGTAAACAACTATACTCAGAGCAGAAAAAGACTGAGGCCAACCTGTGTTCTGTAGGCAGCCTCTACAAAAGGATCTTCAAGGAAGCCTAAAGAAAAGAATGGAAAGGGCCTCCTCCATTGCATATCAGTATGCCTAGTATGAGAAAAAGGTTCAAAAGCAGACTCTGGGTACAAATGACAGTGCTGACCTCACTTAAAGTTGATGGCATCTTGATAATGATAAGGAAGACAGACCAGGCTCAAAAATATCTTGTGCTCCAACCCCTTGAATGTCACCTAGGAGAGAAAAGATTAAAGACAGTTTTTGTATATGCCAGATTGTCTGATCCTTCTTCAGCGGTGAAATTTGTTGTGTAAATACAAACACAGATAACATTCATAAGGTTGTTTGAAAATATGAATTTAAGAAAAAGGTCTGAAACTAAAAAGAGATAAAAGAAAGTTATAGGTTTGGAAATATTTTTAGTACAGAAAATTAGAAGGTAAAAGAAATGTTTCTAGATGAGAAAGCATTTTTGTCTGGTGAAGTAATATTCTTCTGCTAAAGCCCAAGATGAAAGGGGACAAAATTAAGGATATAAAGAAGTTGTAACTGTTTAAGGAAGTCACAGAAGGTTTGCAGAAGGTAAATCTGAAAAAGTTTGTGTTTGTTATAAAATTGGCTATAATTAGCACAGTCAGTTAAAGTTATTTGAACTTGAAAGTACTGATATGAAGCAAAGTCTGAAACATTGATCTTCTCTTATCAAAATAATTTTCTTGTATTTGTTAGGTTTTATTACTTGGGGAAACTAAGTCTTAAAGGAATTCGGATTTATACATGTTTTTAAGTCTTAAATGATTACTTTGTACCTGGTTAAACAAACAACTGTTATTCAGGTTATAACAATATAGTTGATACTCTAGATATGTGTGACTAAGTATACATATGCATCTGAGGACTATATCTGTATAAGCTTTGTCTAAGTATTATATAAAAGTTTATGAAATGAAAATTTATGTAAGTTACTGGCAAGATTATCAATAAGTGATTTCATACATTGTATCTGACATAGAAGAGCCACAATGTCTGTCATTTAAAGACTTGTCTTTTATCTGTTTGCTTTGACTAAGTCAATTTCTTATCATTAACACTGTTTCCTAAATGTATAAGAGATTTAAGGCCACCCTTAAATCCTTAAATCCTTAAGGCTATCCTAAAATGATKTTGCTAACCCATACAGACCTCTGATTGTTGAAATTGGAACTTAAATATGTTTTTGGAAAGTAATAAGGAGAACCTGATCTGTTTAAAGATGGTGTTGTAAAAAAATGGAAGCATTTTGCTACTTTTTCCACAAATAGAAAATTAAAAGCTCTTAGCCTTTGTTTGATTGATGTTTTAGATTTAATGTTGTATCATGTTGTTTGTCAAGAGCCAAGCCGTACCTGAGATAAGACTCTGCCTCCCACCTTACGCCATGTTAGAATGCCTCCAAAATAGGCTAGACTTTTTAGAGTCATGTTCAAAAGACTGTTTGTTGTAAAAATTACTGTGATCTCAATATAAACAGGGAATAGTTCTCCCATTTTAAGACTGTTGAAACTGACCTGTAGGGTGCTTAAAACCCTGCAAAATCTTGCTGAGCAAAGTCAAGAAAGTAAAAGAACCAAGGAAAGAGCAGCCAACATTTTGACTCTTGCCCTCTAAGATCAGCCAGGACCCAGAGAATGAATGATGGGACCCCTCCCCCCCTGCAACGTCAGGGATTCACCCAATCTGCTGATCAGGGAGATCAAGAGGACCCTATAGAAGAGGAAGCCAATCAGTGCACAATTCTGCCAAGAAAAGCTCACTGGAGAAGGACATGTCTCTGATGCTTCCAAAAGAATCCACATATGGTCAGCCAGACCCTAAACCATCCTGGCAGATGGCACAACTGGTAGAGGAGAGCTAAAGGAGCAAAAAAGCTTCACACATGTCCCTATGAATGATCTCTGAGGAATCTCAGCTGACTCTTGAGTAGACAGGAACAAGGTCAGTTTTGACCAACTTGGTCCTAAATACCTGGAAGGGGAGTATAGCCTAAGCACAGTCCTATGTGCACATTTAAAAGGAAAACCAATATTTTGTTTTGTTTTTTTAATGTAACTTAAGATTATCATCCCTATCAAAAGCAAGTAAAGATAGAGACTATAGAAGAAGGGTCCTTGTGTGGGAATGCCTAATAATAACAATCACAAAGGACTCCAGAGTCAAATTTACATGAGCCTGATCTCATAGACCTACAAATATTCCTTGCTCCTACTTTGATAAACTTGATCCTTTTTTCATTGATGTGATTATGAGTTACTTTCTTCATGGTTTTCGGAGACTGACTGACATACTTATTGCTTTTGTGCTAATTGTTTACATAAAGTAATAATTTGCTGTCTTGTTTATTATGTCTTAGCATGATCTGTTCCCTATATATGTCTTGTCCAGTCACCTTCCATCTGCCACTATGAATTGCTCTCATTCTGAATACCCTTAAACTGTTCAGACCCCACCTGATAGAGAACAAGGCCTTTGGGTTACTTCCCCCAACTCTGCCATCTTAGGAAGCAGCCTGGAGATGTCATTGGATTTTTCCATTAAAATGGAATGTAGAAACTGACAATGGGGATATGCTTTGAATATAGCCCTTGCTGCTCTGCAACTGCAACTTATTTTTTTTTAAGAGAAAGAGAGAGAGACAGAGAGAGAGGGAGGGAGAGATAATTTTTTTTAATATTTATTTTTTAGTTCTCCGCGGACACAACATCTTTGTTTGTATGTGGTGCTGAGGATTGAACCCGGGCTGCACGCATGCTAGGCAAGCGCACTACTGCTTGAGCCACATCCCCAGCCCCTGCAACTTATTTCTTAAAACGGACATGTTTCTTTCTCTTCCTTTCTCCCTGCTCCTCTCTGATCTCTACTCCTCCCTAATTTCAGGGAAAACAGGATTACTTTTCTTCTCCATTGTAGGCCAATTTATCTGTCCATGAGTACATAACCACTATAGGAAAGAAATAATCCAGACTTTGGGGATGATACCAGAAGATTTCAGGAATTATAACTCCCAATTTAACAAGTGAATTACAACTCCAACAGAGAATACATGGAATGTAGCCATTGGATCACCTCTGTAAATTCCCCTATTCCTGCTGATGAACAGAATCACAGCTTCTGGGACAGGAGTCCCTGTGTTTTTCCTTTGCTAGCAAAGCAATAAACCTTTTTTTTTTCCTTTTTCCTAAAAAAAAAAAAAAAAAAAAAAAAAAAAAAAAACTTTTCTGCAACATTTATCAAAGACAGTGATGTTTGAAATCCTCTCCAAATAAAAACAGTGACATTAATCTTTCACTAATTAACTATATCAAAATTAAGCTCATATTATAAATGCTATGAAAGCAATATGAAATATTGAGCATTTTTTCCTTTAATGTAAACCTAGAAAAACTAATTTCAGATGATTAGTGTGCAGGAAGATTTTATACACAAAAGAAAAATCTGGTGTGCTTTACTTCTGGATACTAAACTCACAAATATACATTCATTTTTTTAAAACGGACATGTTTCTTTCTCTTCCTCTCTCCCTTCTCCTCTCTGATCTCTACTACAGCATTTCTCTCTAAGTTTGGTCCTCAGACTAGTAGTATGAGATCACCTGTGAGTTTGTTACAAATGCAAATCCTGGTTTTCACCTGACTTACTGACTAGGATAGAGCATAGGAAACTATTTTCAGCAGCTCTCCAGGTGATTTTTAAACTCAAAAATAACTAAGAAACCACTATATCATAAGTTTAGAACCACCACTTGAAAAAGAAATTAGATTTATTCTTTAAAATGCTGAACTCACACAGTAATTTTAAAAAGTGACTTAACTGCACATTAGGATTATATAAATAGTCTTAGCAAGGACTTAGCACAGGATGTTCCCTATCCCTGGTATGCTTGTTGTTCTATTCTTTATGTATCTACTTCTTTCTAGTCAACCTAGGCATCAGCTGAAAGCCCTCCCAGAGCCTGACTTATCTGTAATGTTATCATGCCCTGCTGTTAATATATTATCATGTTTCATTCATACTATCACTATATGAAGATTAGTACTTTTCATATTTTTTGTCTGTTTCTCTCTAGGATATATACTACATAAGAATTGGGGACTTGTTTTATTCCCTATTGACTCCCCAATATCTCATACAGCATGACCATATATTATATGCTCAATTTTGGGAAAAAAAATGAATGGATGCACAGATCTCTGGTGCTCTAGCAAATAAACAGTGGACATATTTAACAGGCTGGAAAAAATTGATTAAAACAGCAACATAGTCCCACATCAATATTAAAAACCATGCTTTGTAAATGAACCTGGGCATAGCACAGCTGCTTTTTTGATCAAACAGTAAATTCCCTATAGTATATATGAATCCACATGTATTCATGAAAACATTATTTAAATTTGTTTCTTATTAAATAAGTAGAAACCTAATATAAAAAAATCATTAAATAAAATTTGGTAAAATTTGTGTTTTCTAGTTATTCTATTTCTAAATTGTCTTTCTAGAATAACATACTTATTATGTGCCACATGCTTTATATACATGATTTATTTCTATCCTCACAAAAGCTAAAAAAAAATGCTATTTTGAATTGGGAAATTATTGAGTCAGAGGAAGTAAAGTCACATATATTTAGTAGCATTTAGATCCAAGTCAATTTGGGATAATTTTTACCATTGTTCTTTATTGTTGTTTCTTTACAAGGAATGTTACCAAGGAATACTTKAATAAATCCTCTACCTGAAAATACTGGTACTGTTTTTCGCTAGAATGGTCACTGATTATGGAATCAGGAACTAAACCATTAACTATTGGATAAAACTGATATTATAATTTGGAGTCAAATGCAATTGGTTTGTGAATTATAGCTAAAGCCTGAAATGATCAGTAACTTCCAAGAAAATGCCCAAATTTACTAGTATGGATAGGCAGCACACAGATGTGAGTGGTGGGAGCATAAGTTTAAGGCCTACTATGTTGAACCTCACATGCTTTCTGTTATAAAGCAATTTATCTGCAGCCCTCCTGACTTATGTTACTTACGTTGCATTCCTCAGCAAACCACCTGTTATGTGCAAAAGAAACTCAGGCCCAGAAGGATCCTCCCTACCAAAAAGAGGAACACAAGTTATCCCCAAATGGGAGACTTCTAGAACCTTTACACAGTCCAGATTCCAGAACTAATGGTGAAGATTAGTACCTAACCATAAAATCTGTAAAAACAAGTTCCAGTTAGAACCAATATGAGCCAAAGTGACCCAGAGTTGCCTTGGATCTTTAGCATGTCAAATCACTCCTCCATGGGCTAAGACAGTGGGGACTTGAAAGTCTGAGGCAATCCTGCTGTCAGTCAAAATTTAAGAGGTGAACCTAGGCACACTCTTCTTGTTTTAGTCAGCTTTTTCACTGATGTGACTAAAAGACCTGACAAGAACAATTGTAGAGGAGGAAATTTTTATTTGAGGGATCATAGTTTCATAGGTCTCAATCGACAGCAGGTTCTATTCTTTGGGGCTTGAGGTGAGGCAGATCATGACAGAAGAGTGTGATGGAGGGAAGCAGCTCATATGATAAGAAAGCAGAAAGAGATTCCATTTACCAGATATAAAATATATACCCCAATATATACCACCTCTTTTAACAACACCCTACCTGCCTTCAGCCTCTACCCAGTTAATCCCATCAAAGGATTAAGTCATTGATTGGGTTAAACCTCTTATAATCCAATCATTTCTCCACTAAACCTTCTTGCATTGTCTTACATAAGATTTTTGAGGATACTTCCCTTGACAATGTCCTTTTACCTATCCCTTCTAATAAACTAATGTCTGCTACTCCAAGAGACATGTCTGAAATTTTTCCAGTGTTATTTTAAGAACTGTCAACCAAGGACCAGTGTAGCTGCCTTAGCTCTGCAGCAGGCCCTTGCTCTGAAGTTTGCTATTTCTAAAATTAATATAACCAGTCTAGCTTGCTTTTGATTAGTGTTAGGATAATATTTCTCCATCCCTTTTACTTTCAATATATATTTCTAAAATGGGATTCTTGAAAACAGTCTTTTTGATCCACTCTAACAATATCCTTTAGTCTATGTACTTAGACCATTAACAACTGAGGTGATAAAATATCTACACATTTGTTACTATGTTCTATTTGTTGCCTTAGTTCTTTTTCTTTTTCTTTTCCACTTATTCCTGTCTTTTGTTTTAACTAATATTTTCTGATTCCATTTTCTCTCCTACCCTATCAATGGTACCTCTTTTATGACTGTTTTTCCTGGTTGTTCCAGAGTTTTCAATGTGCACATACATACAAGTAATCCACGTCTACTTTGAAATAGTACAGGGCCTTTCATGAGTAATACAAGTACCTTTTAGTAAGACATTCCTTATTCTTCTCTCCCATCCCTTGTACCACTGCTATCATTCATTTCACTTTTACATGAGCTGTAATGACTAAGTACATGGTTGCTATTATTTTAAACTACTATTTGTTAGATCATTTAATAATAAGGTTTTTTAACTTACCTTCACTCATTCCATATCTAGCTTTTCCTTTTTTTTATACAGATCTGTTTCTTTTTGTATTGTTTTCCTTCATAGAGGAAGAAGTTCAACATTTTTTGTAAAGCAGGTCTACTGGAAACAGATTCCTTCAATTTCTGTTTGATAAAGTCTTTACTTCTTCATTTTTGAAGGTCAATTTCTCAGGATATAGAATTTTTGGTAGTAGGTTTAAATATTTCACTTCATTCTTTTAATGTTTATCTGATTTCAGAGAAGCCTGATATAATTCTTATCTTTGTTTCTCTATAAGTGTTCTTCCCTTTGGCTCTCAAGGTTTTTTATCTGTAATTTTTTATAATTTGAATATGATATACATAGATGTATTTTATTTTGTTTGCATTTATCCTGGTTGGTGTTATCTGAGCGTCCCACATCTGTGGGTTTTTGTTTTTGTTTTGTTTTTGGTTTTTTACATTAATTTTGGGAAATTCACAGTCATTATTTCTTCATTTTTTTTCCCTTTTTTTCTTCTCCTTCTGATGTCCCCATTTTGGGAAGATTTAAAAAAAAGATTCAGTTGTTGTCCTGCCTTCTAACCAGTTTTCTTGAAGTTGCCTTTCTTACACAGCTTCATCTCATGCTGGGAGCAGAAACTTCTCCCAAACTCTAGGACCAGCAGGACCTGTGAAATAGAGCTTCAACTTGCATATACATTTCTCTGGAAAGCTTATAGGACCCCATAGCCTGAGCAAAATTGCTATGTGCATGCACACCAACTTGGCTTGGCTCTCAAATTTGTTTATTCCCTATATGACCCTGGAGCTATTACATAAACAGGTAAGACAATTCTCTGGACTAGCTGTCTTCCTGTTCTAGCCAAAACAAGAATAAATTCCTTTAATCACATCTATTAATTAAATTCTTGAGGTGGTAGGTGGCTGAATCTGGTCTATTAAGAACCCTAGAGTCAGGCCTTTTGGCCAAGGACCCTGATGACTTTATGAATACATCATCCTTTTGGAGTTGTCCTACAATTCTTGGACATTCTATTCAATTTTGCTCAATCTTTTTTTCTCTTTGATATGGAAGTTTCTATTGGGATATTCTCAAGCTCAGATATTCTTACCTGAGCTGTGCCCACTACACTAATAAGCCCACCAAAGGCATTCTTCATTTCCGTTAACTGTGTTAACTCTAGCAGTTAAGATTCATTCTTAGAACTTCCATCTCTTTACTTACATCACCCATTCCTTCTTGCAGTTTGTTTACTTTTTCCATTATATCCATTAGCATATTAATCATAGTTGTTTTAATTCCCAATCTAATAATTTCAACATTTCTGTCATATATAAATCTGGTTCTGATGCTTGCTCTGTCTCTTCAACCTCTGTCTTCTGCCTTTTAGTAAGCCTTGGAATTTTGGGTTGAAAGCCAGATATCAGGTGTAGATTAAAAAAAAAACAACTCTAGGCCTTTAGTGATAAGGTGATAAGGTATGATGAGGAGAGGGAAGGGAAGCATTCTATAGTTAAATGATTAGGTCCAGTCTTTTAGGGAACATGTGCTCCTTTTATTGAGAACTTCCCAAATGTTCCTTGTTTTTTTTCTCCCCCTAGGTAAGACAGGACACCTCATGGGGTCTGGGGTTATATATTTCCATTCTCCCAAGTGGGAAAATAGAGCAGGCTAGAGTTTACTGCAGGTAGGTGCTGATAAAACACAATAGATTAGGCTCTGGTAAAACTGTTTCTCTTGAGGGCAAGTCTGTTTAAAAGAATGTTGTCTCATATTTCAGAATGATTGTTTTCCCTTCCCCTTCTAGAAACAATAGAGGAAAGGGATAATAACCATTTTGAAACATGACAGAACATTCTAGAAGCAAAAGGAGGAAGGGAAAATCCCCCCACCCTCTGGTTTCACTGTAAACCTTGTAGAGTTGATAAAGCATATTGAAGTGAAATTCAAAAAAGTCTGGAGAAGGGGAAGAAGGAGCCAGACTTGGCTGTAACTGGCCCTCCCCTATGGAGTTTTTAACTCTCCAAATTGTCCACACTAAGCTGCTAAGGATTCATCAGTTAGTTTAGGTTTTCCTACTCAGGCACTGGTTCCCTTAGAGGTTACTGTTCTGGGTTTCTGCTACAGTGAATTATTGTTCCTTATATCTGCCTGTCTCAATTTGGGGGGCAATAGTTTGTCCTATGGCCTTACTTCTCATATTGATTTTCAGTTTGTTCAACTTTTTCCTTATTAGTTTAGGGTGTCTTCCAAGCTCTTCCATTCCAACAATGGAAAACAAATAAGCTTTCTCAACTCTGAGAGATACAATTTGAAATCTCTTGGCTGAGGTGAAACAGAACCTATTTCCACAATTTAATGTAAACAGTACCTATTTACACAACTTTTCCTACCAGCAAGAATCACTAGACAAATAACGAGAAGACACTGCTATCTTATCTAAGGTGTTCAAGGGTGCAGAAGTCTCTGAGCTCTATGATAGAAGTACCTTCAGAAACAAAAACTAAAAATAGAAAAAAAATCTTACCTTTATTGCTGAAGTTCAATAATCACATGCACCTCAGATACAGCATCAATCTCCAGGATATATAAAAAACTTAATACCAAAAAAAAAACAAATAACTCAATCAATAAGTGGACTAAAGAACTAAACAGATACTTCTCAGAAGATGATATACAATCAATCAACAAATATATTTTAAAATGTTCAACATCTCTAGCAATTAGAGTAATACAAATCTAAGATTTCATCTCCCTCCAGTCAGAATGGCAATTATTAAGAACAAACAACAATAAGTGTTGGTGAGGATGAGGGGAAAAAGGCACATTCACACATTGCTGGTGGCACTGCAAATTGGTGAAACCACTCTGGAAAGCAGTATGGAGATTCCTTAAAAAATCTGGAATGGAAACACCATTTGACCCAGGTATCCCACTCCCTTGGTCTATACCCAAAGAACTTAAAATGAGCATCCTACAGTGTTGGAGCCACATCAACATTTATAGCAGCTCAATTCACAATAGGCAAACTGTGGAACCAACCTAGATGCCCTTCAGTAGAAGAATGGATAAAGAAACTATGGTATATACACTATGGAATATTATTCAGCATTGAAAGAGAATAAACTTATGGTATTTGCATGTAAATAGATGGAGTTGAAGAATATCATGCTAAGCGAAGTAAGCCAATCCCAATAAACCAAAGGCCAAATGTTCTCTCCGATAAGTGGGTGCTAATCTATAATGGGAGGAGGGGGCATGGAGAGAATGGAGGAACTTTGAATTGGGCAAAGGATTGGGGTTGGGACACAGGGATAGGTAAGATGGTGGAATGAGACAGATGTCATTACCCTAGTACATGTATATTGCACAAATGTACTTTGTGTTGTATACTCTGCATCATATACAACCAGGGAAATGAAAAGCTGTGCTTCATTTATGTACAATGGAACAAAATGCATTTTGCCGTCATGTAGAACTAATTAGAAAAAATAAAAATAATAAAATGGAAAAACAGCTAGAAAATAAAATAGAAACCAAAACTAAAATATTCCCTTTATTGCTGAAGTTCAATAATCATAAACCTTTCATTGTTATTGTTTTTCTTTTGGTGCTGAAGATTGAAACCAGGGCCTCATGTATGCTAAACACATGTTCTACCACTGAGCTATATACTCTCAGTCTCTAATCATAAAGGTATCAGCAGGGCGATCTTCAAATTGAAGAATTTATAGTTCATTTATCAACATACTTAATAAGCCTAACATAGATGTATCTGGCAATTGCATGACATTTCCTTCCCTCAAAGAAAATGATGTTTTAACTATACAAAGGAACTTAAGAGAGTGTCCTCTTTTCAAAAGCTATCCAGTTTAGCATAAATCAGGAAATATTGCAATAAATAAAATCTTGTCATTTATAAAGTGGCCCCCCAAAAATCAAACAAACATAAAAGGCAACAAAACATATATAAAATATATAACATATAAATATATATTACATATAAACAAATATAAATTTATATATATATGGTATATATATATGGTATATATATATGGTATATATATATATATATATATATATATATATATATATATATCAAGAGTTTGGTAATTAAAATATTCTTTCCTACATTTACTTCCATTTATTAACAATGCTAACACCACCCACAATCTTATAATAATAATAACTAGCTGGTATTGTTATGTAACAAACCACCTAAAATGCAGGAGCTTAAATCAATAAATGTTTATTTGGCCAGTTAGCAATTTCACCTGGACTCATATGTTTGGTTCTTGCAGCCATTGCTGATCTTACTAATACTGATCTTGCTAATGCTGTTGGCTAAGATGGCCTTAGCTGGGATGGCTCATCTTCTTCTACATGGTCTCTTATCTTTCAGTTGGTTTACCCAAGCTAATTTAAGGAGGCTACGCAGGATTCTGAGAACATAAGCATTAAGCCCTCTTAAGGCCAGGGCTCAGAATTGGCACCCCTATCTGCAAGACTTTAGGGGCAAAATCAAGTTACAATGTTCATCTAAATTCCAGAGGTGAAATCTTCTACCTGTCCATGGAAGGAAATGCAATATCATATTATACTGGGTGTGTAGATACATAGGAGCATACAGAATCATTACCATTTTTGCAATCTATAGTGCTATATTTGGTTTCTGCTCCTCATTAATAATTTGTACAAAAATTAAGTACCTAAGCATTTACTTCATATAATGATATAACATTTGGAAGTATAACTTCAAGAAAGCTTTACCTAAGTATCCTAGCCAACAGTAATATGTTTTAACTCAATTTCTATAAATTCAATAATGATATTCTGCTGTATTTTATTTATTTGGTAGCTCTTATTAGATAATGAGTTTCAGAAGACTAGGGATCAGTATTTCWTACTTTCTTTTAATGTGTGATCATTGCTTTCCACAGTGTTTGCACTCAGTACATATTTAGTCAGTATTACTTATTGATAAACTGACCAAATAAATGACTGAATCCTCTATTAAATTAAAAATTCACTAAAAAATGAGTTGTCTCAACTATCTGGTATATCCCATAGTCTCTAGGTATTTGCACACAGTAGGTCTTCTATAAATAACTAAATACATTTTTATAAAAGAGTAAAAGAATTCTTATCACTTTCTTTATCCTAAAAAAATTTGTAATATGTTCATACTTTGTACTCAAGAATACAAGTAGCCATTGTATTGACACTGAAATTTATCTGTCATTATTCAGCAATTACTGAATTTTCAAATAACTAGCCATCTGGAAATAGTGTATAGAACTGGCTATAAGCACTGAACTTAGAACGTTATATAACAGAAAAAATGATAAAATACAGCTGTATTATACTTGAAGATTATATTTATAATTTTTTCTATAAAAATTATAAAAATTTTAGTCATTACATTATATATATTATTTTTCCATAAATAGAATTTGTAGCTATAAATTAGAGATAGATTAGGAATTTTACAATAGCACCTCTACCTTTAAACTACAGTTAGTTATAAATAGCACTGCAACTTTAAGTCTAAATTCAGTACCATGATTTATTCAGCTATTGTACCATGGGAAAAACAACTTATAATATTGAAATCATATTTTCATTTAAATATGAACCAGAAACACATACTCTTGATGACTTTTTCATATCCACATTTTCCAAATCTGTGTCAATGACATTTGTAAATGTGGTTTTAAAATTCAAAGACTCCCATATTAAGACATATACTGAAATATTTTACTTTCATAGGTACTGAACAAATAAATCATGATTCAGAGACATTATAGAATAATTTAAGAAACGTGCCACTTAATTTGGGGGGCTAACTTTCTAAAAAGTAAGATGAATTGATTTCCCAAGTAAAAGTAGCTCAGGGATACAATAACCCTTCCATCTGATCTTATCTAAAGCGAGGTAGCTTCTTATTAGCAATGAAAGACAAATTAGAACTGACCAATATTAAACAACAAATTGTCAGTTATGATAGGAAAAGAAATGTTTGCACTCATTATGCTTTGATTTTCCAACTGTTTCTATCTGTGCTTTTAGGCTATCTTGTTTTCTATCAGTTTTTATGCATTTACTCTTTAATTCATAAGTATCAATCAAAATTCTTAAAACATCGGTGGCAAATTCAGTTCATATACATGTTCAGTGACTACAAAAAGCAAAGAATTAAAGGGTCAATATCAGCCAACAAAGTTAACTCTCATGCCAACATGTAACTACAAGACTTTCAATATAAGCAAGAAATCYCCCCTTAAGAGAACAAAAACATTTCTTGGTCTATCAGTAAAGCTTACAATGTCTAATTCTAAGACTAGAAAACCTTACATCACAAAAGCTTTGTCACAGAACTTTTCCATTTTTTTCTTACAGATATCAATTTTTTTCAAGCAAGGAAACAGTTCAGTGGCTCCAGTGATACCAGTCTTGGAGATCAGGAATGAGGTCCTTGTTCCCCCGAAAATGCCAAGGCAAATGTAGAAAGCAAATGTAATTTAAGAAAGTGATGATACAGACTTCTCTGAAGAGAAGGGGCTCCAGAGCTAAGTGTCCACAGGAGGGGGTGTGTCTTGCTCTTTTACAGACCTCAGCATCCCCTCTTTTAATTATTGCTTTCTCTTTCTTCTCCATGTATGTGTTTAAGGGCAGGGACATGAGGTTGAATGTTATTAACCCAAAGTACCCAGAAGCAGAATTGCAGAGGTTAACAACACTGGCCAGGCAATGATTCAGGCAGATTGCTTTTTGGCGAAGAAAGTATGTGCAAAGTCAGCACAGTGGGCCCATTTTATAGAATTATTCTCTTAACCTCACATTCCCACTGTTCTCATCTTTCTGTTCCCTGACACCAGGACACAATAGATTTCACAAATTTTCCAACAAGATATGTTATTCTGTGTTACTGAGATAGTTATTAGTTTCAAATTTTATGTGCATGTTAATCATATTTTTAATGGTAGATCTCTCCATGGACCAACCCCCAAACATGAACCACAGGATAGAATTCAGCAGTACACATATCAGTCTCTCCAGCATGGAGATTTTAGGGCAATCAGACTTCTAAAATGGCAACTCAGAACACAAAAAGTCATGTATCCTGAAAGAGAGAGAAAATGTCAGCTTTCGGAATCATCTTTTATGACATAGCCTTGGAAGTCCTACTATATCACTTCTTTCTCATACTATTTATAGGAATAAGCCACTAAAACTCACTCATAACAAAGGAATGGCAATTAGACTTTAYCTTTTGTAAAAAAAAAAGTGTCAAAGAAATTATAAACATACCCTTTCACCAAAAAGTATTTGCATTCATTCCTTCGACATGCAAAATACACTCTTCAATTCCCTAGGTAACCACACTCTTGCAAAAATCTTACCTATGATGGCATCAAGGATAGGCTGAAAAATCCAGGATTTCATAGAAGTATGGCTGAGACTCCTCAGATGCCAATTATCAACTACAGCAAAGTACAACTCATGAAGTATATTTTCAATCTAAAAACATAGTGAACCAAAGAGACAAGTTATGTGGCTTTCAGGTATCAACATACAATGGGGTAGAGGCATAAGATAATTGCTATATATTTTACCATGGAAAACAGAATGGGGAGAAGAGAGGTAAATAGAGTCACTAGTTCATTACAATTCTGAAATCTAGCCACTTACATCCTGTTGGTTCCTTGACTCTCAGATCTGCTGTGTAGGAGTGTAGCACTACATCCCCAAAGGTCTTAGCTATATCCTCTAACTCTAAGCTCATGGTGCTACCCCAAGTCAGCTTTTTCCATTAAAAAAAAAAAACCACTGGTGTAGTTTTCTCAGCTTCCTGACAGTGATACTTATTAAGTACAAAGGGCTCCTCTCAGTTGATACTGTCTATCCTGTAGTTCAAAGTGGCAGTGTTTGTGAATATGCTTCTCTTAAAGTTTTGTTGGTCTTCTACAAATTATACTGAAGTTGACATAATTATACAAAAGCTACACCTACAAAATTCATCAAGATAAACCTTTCCTCTATCTTTGTTTTCCTGTAAGATTGCCAAAGGAAAGCACCACTTATAATCTTAAAAACACACTAATTAGGCGAGATAATCTGCAACGTACGCCCTTTAAAATTCTTAGGGATATTTAAGGTACCATTCCACCTCCTTGCAAAGAGTTATACAATAACACCTTGACATGATCTTCACTCCCTATTTTCCTGATAGTGACCAGGATTTGATCTTAATCAAAAAGCCTTTTCGGGCTGGGGTAGCTCAGTGGTAGAGTTTTTGCCTAGCACATGCAAGGCCCTGGGTTCAATTCTCAGCACCATGTATAAATAAATAAAAAGTAAAGATCTATCAAAACTAAAAATATTTTAAAAAATAAATAAAAGCTTAAAAAATKWMATTTTTTAAGCTTTTATAATTTTTTTAAAATGAAAGTAATTTGAAAAAAATGAGAGAACACATAATCTCTTGAGCAACAGGTTCATACAGGAATGTACACTGCCGTGAAACAGACACAACACTGGAAAAAAAAATTTTTTAAATGCCTGTAGCTAAAAACAATTTCAAAGGTTTTAAAGCACTTAACAAGGTAGCCTAAAAACATATAAAAAACAGAAAAACAGATGAACTCATGAGTTAAATACTAAATAGTGAAAGATAGGTAACAAACTTTCCCACAAAGAAAAAGCACAATCTGTATATAATACAAAAACATTAAGTATAAATTACCAAATCCTGTGTCAGTGGTTCCTTAAAGTTTGTAGTGGCTAGTTTTGTGATTTCAAATATTATTATAGCTGTAGCACTGGAAACGCAATCTAGGATGACAATTATTTTCTGGCAGCATTTGGAAAGTTTATTATACTGTCTTTTGGTTTAAATTATTGATATTAAAAATTCATGGGCTGGGGATATAGCTCAGTTGGTAGTGTGCTTGCCTTGCATGCACAAGGCCCTGGGTTCAATCCCTAGCACCATACACACAAAAAAAAATATAATAAAATAAAAGTCATCTGATTGTATATCCTCTTCTGAGAAGTGTCTGTTCAGTTCCTTGGCCCATTTTTTGATTAGATTATTTGTTTKTTTTTTTTTTTAGTGTTAAGGTTTTTGAGTGCTTTATATATCCTAGAGATTAGCGTTCTATCTGATGTGTTTGTGGTAAGATTTGCTTYCATTCTGCAGGCTCTCTAAATACAATCAATCAACAAACATATGAAAAAGTGTTCAACATCTCTAGCAATTAGAGAAATGCAAATCATAACTACTCTAAGATTTCATCTCATTCCAGTCAGAATGGCAGCTATCAAGAATACAAACAACAGTAAATATTGGCGAGGATGTGGGGAAAAAAGCACACTCATACATTGCTGGTGGGACTGCAAATTGGTGCAGCCAATTTGGAAAACTTGGAATGGAACCACCATTTGACCCAGCTATCCCACTCCTCAATTTACACCCAAAAGACTTAAAAACAGCATACTCTTATATCAGCACAACTCACAATAGCTAAATTGTGGAATCAACCCAGCTGCCCTTCAGTAGATGAATGGAAAGGGAAACTTGGGTATATATACACAATGGAACATTACTCAGCATTAAAAGAGAATAAAATCATGGCATTTGCAGGTAAATGGATAGAGTTGGAGAACACCATGCTAAGTGAAGTAAGCCACTCCCAAAAAAATAAAGGCCAAATGTTTTCTTTGGTATGAGGATGCAGACTCATAATGGCAATGGTGGGGGCATGGGAGGAATGGAGGAACTTTAGATTGGGCAAAGGGGAGAGAGGGAAATGCAGGGGGAAAGGAGGTAGGAAAGATGGTGAAATGAGTTAGACATCATTACCCTAAGTACATGTATGAAGATACAAATGGTGTGAAAATACTTGTGTACAATCAGTAACTTGAAAAAATGTGCTCTATATATGTGATATGAAATGAATTGCATTCTGCCATCATGTATAACAAATTAGAATAAATAAATAATTTAATTAAAAAATCCATCTGACATTATAGCTGCCCTAAGAAGGCAGTTTTTTTTCTCCTCAGCTGCTTTCATGATCTTCCTTTGCTTTTGAGTCTTTAACTATTATATTGAGCCTAAAATATGTATTTCTTTTTTTCTACTGTGAAATCACAAGCTTTCTTGAATCTGTGTATTAGTATTGATCACTTCTGGAAAACAGCCATTATCTCTTCATATTATGCTGCTTTCCCATTCTTTCCCATACTGCTGGTAGTTCAATTAAGCATATTTGAAGTGTCTTCTCTGTCCTCCTTATTGTTAACTTATTCTCTCATACTTGCTACTAAAAATCTTCTGAATTATGGGCATTTTTATGTATATTTAACTTCACAAATGCTTTCTTTGTCTGAATCTAATATGCCRCTAGACCAATGTATTAAGTTTTCAGTAATTAGCAGAAATGGAAATCTGAGACAAAAATAGGAATATTAACATTTGATTTACAACTATACATACAATTCATTTATCTACTTGTTATGGTTCCTGCCAATCTTTTGACTTGCTCCAAAAGCAAATTATGAGGCAAGAATTCAAGTAAATACCCTTTGGTGTATAATCTCAAAAAAAAAATGACATGGAAGTAAGATGTGAAAAAGGAAGAAAAGTAATAAAGGGTTTATTAAGCAAGTTATCACTGTGAGTCACTGAAGCTTTATCCTTCAGATCGACTAGGGAAGAACAATGTTTCTCCAATCTTAGAGAATACAAAGATCACTTGTTTGGGTGTCACTAGACCACACTCAAATTTAATAATTCACTAGGACTCAAAGAACTCTTTGAAAGATGTTGTATTCACAGTTGTGGTTTATTACAGAGAAAGAATACAGATTAACATCAGCCAGAAGAATCTCACAGACATAGTCTAGGAAAATAACAAACATAGAGCTTCTAATAGTTCTCTCACAAAATCATAGATAACATCACTTTCCTACAAAGATATGACAATATACATGGAGTACTGCTAATCAGGGAAGTTTGCCTGAGCTGTGATGTCCTGAGTCTTTACTAGGGCTCCAACACAATGGCATGGTGACTGCCTAAATGATTGATCTCATTCTCCAGTCCCAAAGGAAATCAAGCTGATACTGATTGAATCAAAAGCTTCATCTTAATTCACACTGTTACAATGTGGCTTCTCCCAAGGTTCCCAGGTTAATAAGAAGACTCGTTTAGAATAACATGCCTATAATCTCAGCAGTTTAGGAGGCTAACAGAAGATTGTGAGTTCAAAGCCAGTCTCAGATACTTAGTGAGGCCCTAAGCAGCTTAGCGAGACCCTGTCTCAAAAAATAAAGGGCTGGGGACGTGGCTTAGTGGTTAAGCACCCCTAGGTTCAATCCCTAGTACCAAAAAAACAGAATGACACTCCCAGAAATGAAGGCCAAACCTTTTTTTTTTTTTTTTTTTTTTGACAAGTTAATTTCTGTACTACCCTGCAACTTCCCTGCTCTCACTGGGAGTGATCACTGCCTTTTAAAAGCTCCAAAATTCATGCATTACATTAACTATTACATTATGATATTGATAACTATTACATTATGATATTGATAAAAACTGAACTAGTGTAGACTTTTGTAGTTAATTTGCTTTCTATATTGACAAACTTTGATTCATATTTGGAAAACACTGGTTTATTTAACAGTTGAGACCGAGGTAAGACTCACAGCTTAATATTATTTCAAAGTTATCAGTATAGTCTTCTTGTTCCACATAATTAGTCTTTCCTACACAATATGTTATATTTTTGCAAAATAGTGCTCAGGAAATAAATCCATAATGGAATTTTGATCTTTTCCTGGTTTAGCCATTTGTAGTATAATAGTCCACAGTGTTGGTGACAAGCTGCAAACACTCTGTCGGCCACTCTATCATGTGGGAAAACCAATAGTTTATATAATGTAGTATATTGCTAAGCTATGATGCTTGGTAAGTTAGGTAAGCTAAATGCATTTTCAACTTAAAATATCTTCAATTACAATCAATTTACCAGGATGTAACCCCACTAATAAGTCTCTGAGCATCTGCATAACCAAACAAGTGTCAATTTTAAAGTACAAGCATTTAAAATTGTGGTATAAGATAAATGTGCTAGAATCAAAGCCTATATTTTAAAAGACTAAGAAATTTTGATGTAATATTTGTTAAAGAAGCTTAGCAACATTAAAAAAGAAACATAAATTTTTCCAATTTTAAAACTTTTTTCTATAAAAGCATTAAAACATTTTTTAACCTTAAGGAGGAAAACATCTTCCTCTGAGTTGATACAAGCACTAACAACAAATGTTATCCAAACAAAAAAGAAGACATATATTGTCTAAAAATTAATCCATAGGCTGGTGGGTACTGGTGGTAGAGCACTTGCCAAGTATTTGTGAGGATCTGAGTTTGCTCCCCAGCAGTCTCATAAACACACAAATGAAACCAGAGTTAAAAAAAATCTAGAATTTTAAGTGGGGTATAACATTAAAGAGAAGTAGTTAACAAAATTCTTATGATGAAGACATAAAACACATTAGGTACTATTATTTTCTGCCCTAAAGTCTTGGAAGAAAATATTTTTCCTGCAAGATACAACTGCACCTAATTTTAAAGTAAATGCCACAAGGAAGAAAGCTAAGCATATTTTTAATCCAGGAATAACAATATATCATAATAATGTAAAGAATAATAAGTATGAAAATGATAATATATGATTATTTTATAAAACCTTGATGAATCACTAAAGCCATCAAAGAAATGCCTATACAAAAAATTAAGTGCATAAAATATTAAAACGTCTTAGAATCATGAATAGACCTTCTAAATACTTTAGCCTAATGCTTAGTTACATTTTCTCATTCCTTATTATGTTAATTAAATTCTGAACATTTATTATTGCCTTCCAAGGTCAACTGAAATGTTACATCCTAGACTGAGATTTTAGAATACTAGTTTTTCTTAAGGATTTCCTGCCCTCCAGTGGTATATGCCTTAATATTTTCACTGTATTTCTATATGGCAAAGAGGAGACACATCACTTCTACATGTACATAGTGAAATTATATTACACTGTACGGCAGCATCAAATTTTTCTTCCATTGCAGGTTCTCTCTCTGTTTGTACCCCTGCATCACATCTTACAACTGGCAGAATGCAGTTATTATYGATTTTGTTTTGCAACACATGTGCTGAATTGCACTGCAACTGAGGAGATTGATGTGTATTATTTTTCACTGAGAATGGGTAGAAATTTTCAGTTTGTTTGTGAATTGGGGCATTATCTTTACCAATCCTATCATCTGAAACTTTTGACATCCTTTCTAGATGAAAATCATTGGTTGTTTCAGTAGTTTTGACACATATCTTATTTGAGTCTTCAATTTGCTGTAACATTTGATCTTCATCTTCTGATGGCTAAAAGAAATTAAATAATTTTGCTGTAAATAACGCTTAAATAAAATGCCTAATAAAATTGCTCAATTACTTCCAAGTAAACATTCTTAAAATTCACATTATAGGAAATTTCTAAATACAGGAGAGACTGACAGGTTACTAAGCAAAGCATATATATTATCAAAGTGTCTTGAATCTACCATACTTCTCACTCAGCAGGCTGTGGATTTTTAAATATTAAAAATGGAAAAAAAACAAGAGGAATCTTATGTCTTCTTAGTACTTATAATCACCGAATGCATCATTCCATCAATCTCTAACACTGAAGAGATGATGGGCAATTCACTATCCAATCACTTCAAAAGACTGCCAAAGTGATACCTTTGAAGGGAATGGTTGAAACTTTTTTATTATTTACTCGCCGATTCATTAAGGAAAACATACTCATTGCATACACTTTATGGGTCCATCCCATGAAAGATATATCTTAAGAAGATAATATAAGGAGAGTATCAACTAACAGAATATCAAAAATATTTAGGGGCTAGGGTTGTACCTCAGTGGTCGAGCACTTGCCTTGCATGCATGAGGCACTGGGTTCAATCCATAGCACCACATAAAAATAAATAAATAAAATAAAGATACTGTGTCCATCTACAACTAAAAAAAATATTTTAAAAAATAAAAGTTTAACAGGAATAAATATGTTAACTTTAATCTAAAAATACAAACTGTAATAACTTTTAATAGGCCTAGATTTAAATTTGCTAAGCCTGAATTTTTCAACTTCATGAAAAATGTATTTATTAAGGACAAAAACATAATTTTTATGAATATTTAAAAGTATTAATCATTCAAACTAAAAAAAGTGGCAAAAATAATAATGAAAAAAATTAAAGTAAGCCCAAGACAGAGCATTAAAACTGAGCACAAATTGGAAAACAAAAGCTCAATGCATGTATTTAGTTAAGAAACAAACATTCACTTACTAAAAGGCATCTGCAATATGAGTGAAACAAAATGGTTGCTGTTCTCTTGGAATTCACATAATGAGTAAAAATAAAATTAGCAAAATAATCAGACACATAAACACATAACTATAGATTGAGAAAAGCATTATGAGGAACAAGTATGAGGCACTTTCAGAGCATCACTAAGGGAGAAGCCATATTTATACTGGGRAGCCAGGGAAGGACTTTTTAAATAAGTGACATATTTAACCTAAGACTTAAAGGATAAAAAAGAATAAGACTGAGAAAAAAGAAATAAATTCCTGCCCTGAAGCGGAAAGGAGAATGACAAACTAAGGAAAATGAAGGGCCAATACGTGTGGAAAAAAAAGAAGAAAGGAAGAATACTGGAAGAAACAGGAAATGGTGGCCAAGAGCTAGTAGCCACTGTAAGTTCAGATTCTATTGGAAAATAGAAATCCATTGAATAATTACACATCAGAATAACATGATTCAACTTACTTTATTTATTTATTTGGTACAAAGGGTGAACCCAGGATGTTTAACCACTGAGGCCTTTTTATTTTTTATTTTGAGATAGGTTCTAAGTTGCTTAGAGCCTTACTAAATTGTTGAATCTGGATTTGAACCAATAATCCTCTAGCCTTAGCCTCCTGAACCACTGGGATTACAGGTTTGTGCCACTTGCCTGGCCAACTTATTATTTTTTTTTATTATGATATCTACTAACTAGAGAAGACGCTGGGGGAAGAGTGAAAGTAAAGACATCTCTCATGAAACAGCCAGAACAATTCAAGAACAAGATGATGGTAACTTAGAATAGGGCACTGGTGCTTGTTGAGAGTAGATAAATTCACAATTTATTTTGGAGGTAGAATTGATTGTACAAAGTGATGAAATGAAGATGATTGGGGGAGGCAGATTTGAGAAAGAAAGAAATGACAATATTAACTATTATAGTAGGCTTCTGATATGAACGCTTGGGCAAATACAAAAAATATTTATTGATACAGAAATATATAAAAAACTGATTTGGGTGAAAAATTAGGTTTTAAGTTTGAGGTATGAAAAAGATCTTTGTGAAATATCCAAGATGTGTCCAATAGAAAATTGAACATCTAAATAAGAACCAGGGCTAAAGTCATAAAACTAGGAACTGACATCACCCAGATAGTATAAAAGTCATTAGAATGTATAAAATCTCTAAAGGTCTAGATTATAGGTTTACAGAAGAGGGTCTTGTATGAAACCCTAAACATTACAACATTTATATACGGAAAAAGACAAGTGAAAAAAAAGGCATAAAAAAGCATTCATAGAGATATCAAGAAAACAAAGATAGTGTGTTAAAATAAAAGCAAAGAAGAAAAATATTTCAAAGAAATTAAATAATAATTTCTATCAGTATTAGGAGTTCTCATAAGATAAAGACTGAAAAGCATCCAGTCAATCTGACAACACAGAAGTCACTGGTATCCTTGGCAAGATGGCAAATTAGATACTAAAGGCAATAAGGAATGAAGATAAAAGAGTGAAGGTAGAATTTCCTTCTAAAAGTGATTTGTCAGAAGTGTAGATTCTCACTCAGAATTGTCTTTCAAATTATTCATATTTTAGTCTTCAACACTATTATCCAATTCCTTCTTATATAAGCCTGAGACTTTTTTTTTGAAGGTACATTTGGTTGTTTTATGCTTCAAATTATATACATCTTGTTAAGACAATTTTACAAATAATATATTTTTATGTAATTTTTTTTTCTTTTCTTTTTTTTTATTTGGTACTGGGGAATTGAACTCAGGGGCACTTCACCACYGATCTACATCTCTATCCCTTTTTATTTTTTTATGAAACAAGGTCTTGTCAAGTTGCTTAGGGCCTAAGTTGCTAAGACAAATTGAAYTTATGATCCTCCTGCCTCATGTCTCCCAAAATGCTGAGATTATAGGCATAAGCTATCACACCCAACTGTTGACATTTTGTTATTATTTTATTTTACATTTTTGTGTACATTTTCTTATGCTTTCACATTTTACAATATTTCTTATATTGTTTACTTTTTTACATTTTCATTTATATTATTTTTTATTTCCTCTGTATTGGTTCAACTGTTTTTCATAATGTAAAAGTAAACCAACAAAAATAATTCTAGCTGGGCACAGTGGTGCACGCCTGTAATCCCAATGGCTTGGAAAGGCTGAAAAGGAGGATCTCAAGTTCAAAGCCAGCTTCAGCAACCTAGCACAGCGCTAGGCAACTCAGTGAGACCCTGTTTCCAAATAAAATACAAAAAAGATTTGGGGATGTAGCTCAGTGGATAAGTGCCTCTGGGTTCAATCTCCAGTATAAAAAATCTAAATGAATATAAAATTTATAAGTAAAAAGGCATAACTTACCATCTCTGAACTAGAACTGAAACAACTATCCGTTGGCCTTGGAGAGTAACTGGCAGACTGACTACTCTGTGAAGAATCAAGATCTGAAAATAAAGGTTTAATTCATGAAGAATGATATTCACTAATGCTGTATGAAATATCCAAAGGCAGAAAATATCTGTGTGCAAAGATTAGCTAACCTAACAAACAGCACTTTAAAATGTGCTAAATTTAGTTAAAATTTAGGATACTTGGCACCTTGCATTTATAACAGGATTTATGGGTTTATTTTACTCTTAAAAGAATGGTTATCTACAAGTAATAGGGGTACATAAAGAGGAAAGCAGAAATGAGAAAATTGGGATTGATGTTTTCCAATATATGTGCCTTTTTTATGAACAAATAATTTAAAGTGTCAACTGTAGGAAGCAGAAATAAATTCAGTCCCAAGGTATCAGATATTTGCTAATCTAGTCAATGAAACTTTACTGTGCAATCAAAACTGTATGAAAAAAATCTACCCAAAGCACCCGATATTATATTTTTTCATTTTTGCTTAATACGTTATCTTATGATTGTAAACAAAGTTTAAAACTGGGCCTGGGAAGTAGTATATGACTCCCTACCTACCAAACCAAACATCATAAAGTAATTTGTAATAAAGTAGTGAAATTGGGATGGGGAAAGGGCAAGAAATTTAAATATCAAGAAAGTTTTCAGCTAGCCTCAATTTGGGCAAGTATGTAGCTTTTAAATTGTTTCTGGATCTGTACAATCTCAACAAAATCTGACAAAGACTACACACACACACACACACACACACACACACACACACACACACATACTGTCTCCCTCTCTTTATAGAAAAACTCATTTATGAATACTGATGCAAAAATCTAATAACAAATAAAATATTAAACTATTTTTTAAAAATAATCAATATTATAAAACATCATCACTTGGTAAGATTTATTATAAGAATGCAAAGACAGTCCAAATTGCAAAATCCTTTAATAAGATTCACCTTTGTAAAAGAGCTGTATCACAACTGGATAACATGTCACACCTTTTGGAAGGCCACTATCATTTAAAAAAAAAAAAAAACTAGAATAAGTATTGATGAGGAAGTAGAATAATTACTGTCCTGCATGTTTGGTAAGAAAATAAATGGGGCAGCTACTATGGAAAATAGTACAGAGATGCCTCAAAAAAGTTAAAATTGGAATCACCACATGAATCTTGTAATCCTATTTATGGGTGCATAGCCAAAAGAACTGAAAACCTATTATAGGGTCTAAAAGAGAGATTTCTATTCTCATATTGATTGCAATATTAATCACAATAGCCAAGAGCTGGAAGCAACCTCAGCAATGGATGAATGGATAAAACAAAAGTGTTATATACATACAAGTGGAATATTATGCAGCATTAAGAAAGAAGGTAATCTTGTTAGTACATGTTACAATATGGATGAAACTTAAGTCATTATTTCAAGTGAAACAARTCAGTCACAAAAAAAGATAAATACTTCATGATTCCACTCATTTGAGTATCTAAAATAATCAAACTGATAAAAACAGAAAGTAAAAGGGGGATTGCCAAGGGCCAGGGGAAGTGAGAGACAGGCAGTTTTTACTGGGTAGATACAGTGGCATGTGTTTGATGATAAARCCCTACACACATAAAAACTATTGGAAGGGTAAATTTCACATTATGTGGTTTTGGCCACAATAAGCTTAAAACTCTAAGAATAAAAATTAATAATCATTCCCACAGACACCAAGAATCATTCTTAACCCAAACCACTAATTTCCCAAAATCACAAGTGGATAATATCTCATAACTATTGGAAGGTGTCAAATTCTTGAAAAAATAATCAATACAAATTCACACAAGCCCACAATCCAGAATCTCGGTGTAGAAATACAGGAAGTATATTCATAATAAAGTAGCAACAAAAACACCAAAAAGTACCTATGAATAAGTGAAATAAGAAACATGCAAAATCTATTTGAAAAAAATTTAAGAAAGTGCTTAAAGATATGTTAGGTAACTACAACTATAAATTTAGATTGAATCGATGGAAAGATACCCTTATTCTTAGGGCTATAATATATTATATTCATTACAATAACAATTCACACTAAGATACATATTTAACAGTTTCCTAATAAAAATTAAAATGTTTCTTTTGAAGTTAGATTAATTTTAAAGCTTATATGAAAAAAATAATTTAGACTGGCCAAGAGAGACTTTTTAAAAAGCGCAGAGATATAAAACATTTCCAGAAATTAAACACACTATAAAACAATCTTAATTTWAAAAGTATGGTATTGGCACATGAAAATAAGGAAAGACCAATGGAACAGTTAAGAAAACCTCCAAACAGATTAGGTAATATGTAGTTAGTATATTAAAAAGGCAATATCATAAACACCCAGGGAAAGATGCATTTTTAGAACTTGAATGATATCATGTCCCATACTTTAAATCAGGAAAATATCCAAATAAATTAAAGATATAAAAGTAAATACAAAACAATACTAAAGCTACAAGAAAATATGGTGAATTCATTTATAACCCAGGAGTGTGGAGAACTTCTAATGCAATCCAGAAATAGTAAAATATTSTTAAACGAAGCAAGAGACAAGTATAGTAAAATCAAAATATATGAAAAGCTAATATATTAAACTAGAAGAAAATATTTATTACTTATATTACAAAATGTAAACCTTTTTAACATATGAAGAGCTAGTTCTTAAGTATCAAGAAAAAAGGCCAAGAACCCAACTGGTCAAAAGACATGAATGCCAAGTAGACCAAAAAACAAAAAAAAAAAAAAAAAAAACAGAAAAGAAAGAACGTAAACAGCCACTGAAAATATTTAAAAGAATATTCAGCTTCACAGACAGAAATGAAATACAAACTAAAACCTATCTATTCATCTCAAATAACTCAAAATTACAAAAAATCTTAGATTTGACCACAATATCTGTTGATGAGTCTATGGGATAACTCACACTTGCTGTTATAATTGGCTACATGCTGCAAGTAGGAAATTTGATAACATCAAAGTGGAGATTCAGCAATATATATCAAATAACAGTGCATCTTGTTTTGACTGTTGAATCCCATCCCTAGTAATTACCACCAAAACACACCTCCACAAATAAAAAAAAAAAATATGCACCAAGTTCTTTAGTTACATTTGTAAGAAACCACCCAAATGTGCATCAATAGGACACTAATTAAATCAACTGCAGTAAATGTACTGAATGAATGACTAGCAAGTCATAAAAGGATGATAAATATATGGTGCTAACATGGGAGAATCTATAGGATTCATTTAATTCTTTTACATAGTTGCATGTATTACCCTCAGAGCAATAAAGGAAGAGAACTAAAATTTGTGGGCATGCATGTTTTAGGCTTTATTTTGGGGAGGGAAATCTCACAGAGTGCAAGGATAAAACATAAAACAACAAAGAATACCCATATGCTGGAAGCAAGGAATTAAAGAACTAAAAAAGCCAAGACTAATGTTTTACATCCACAAAGGTTTCTAAGTACCTAGCAGACTAGATAACCTAAAGAGCCATTCTAGCACAGAATACCTAAGAAGTGTCAGGAAAATATGAAACTTTAATCATATCAGTAAAGAATGAAAAAACTTCTCAAATATGAAGTATCTGTTACATGTAAGCCTATAAATAATTACTATTCAAGATTCAAAAGAGATTTACAAAAGATACAGATATATTGATAAAAGATATCCCATAAGTAAAACCAAACTTCTTAAACGAAACAAGAGCGAAAGACATGAAATACACTTCACAAATGAAACACAGATAACCAATTAACCTAATAAGTAATCAGAAAAATATGTTAAATGTAAATATCAAATTACCAACAATGACAAAAGACTGACATAGTGTTGGTTAAAGTATATGACTAAGATTCTTACCCTTTGTTAGCTATAGGTAAAATAGGCACACTTTAGAAAATAATTTTGCATTAAATTGGCAATTCTACTCCTAGTAATATACCATAGAGTAATTTTATATGCATGTGTTCTAGAAGAAATGTCAAGAATGGCATAAATAGCAAAAAGCAAAATATTCAAAACTAAATAAATATCCATTGTGAAAAGATGCATAAATAAACTGTGGCACATTCACAAAACAGAATGCTGCATAACAATAAAAATAATAATAACATGTAAAAGTAAATGAGCCTGAAAACATAATACTGAGTTAAAAAAGAAAGTTGCAGGAAAATACATAGAAGTTTTTCCATATGTAAAAAGTTTAAAATCAAGCAACAGAAATGTCTGTGTGATACCATCTCAAGAAACAAATTCAGGAAAATAGTTACCTCTAGGGGGCAGGATAGGAAATGCAATTGAGAATATTTTCAAAAGTACAGTATTTATATATTATTTCTTAATGGTTGAGTTTGAGGATATTTATTTTACTATTTGTTAAACTGTCCATTTACATTATGCATATTCATAATGTATTTTTATAAAAAACTTATTTTAAAGTGTTGATTACATTACTAGTATTTTCTAAGATGCCTATGAAATATTTATTGGCTAGTGAAAATCTTTAAAAATTTTTAAATTAACTGATTTCTAGTTGTTAGTTTTAAAGAGAATAAAATTAACTTATACAGTCATACTGACAGATCTTCTTTGTGGATGTTGGCCTTCCTTTTAAAGAACATGTTCTTCCTTCTTCCATCACAATCTAGGAGAAAACCAAAATTTTAACAATTCCCAAGYATGCATGATAATTTCCACTTATATCTACCCAATAAATGCCACTGACTTGTTTTATAGTACTTTAATTCAATGAAGTTCTCTCCCCCACACACACACACAATTAGCCTATAGTGAATAAAATATTAAATTGGTTTAGAAGCAACAGGTAACAGAATAGACACTTGCTAGGAAATAAATTACTGACAAAAAGGAAACTTCAGGCAATCATAGTAAATTCAATTGGAAAAAGATAAGGCATTAAGGTATTATTGGGATTTGTTCTATTATTCTCCTGATTTCTTAAGTTGGGTTATCAGTCATTTACTAAAAAATAAAAAGTTTAAAGGTATGAATTTTCTGTAGAACACAACATTGGTTTTGGTTTTCATCACTTTCTCTGTAATTTGTAGTTGACTTTCATTTCCTTTCTTATTTTTTAAATTTTTGTTATTTATTCTTTTTAGTTATACCTTACAGTAGAATGTATTTTGACTTATAATACATCCATGGCCTTTTTTCTTATTTTTTTTTTAAAACCCAAATTGTCTCCAACTTTTCAAAAAGTTAAAGGATGACAAACAACTTTTGGGGGTTGATTTCAAATTTTATTAAATTTTGATTGCATGATGTAGTTACAATTCTCTCCTTTGCTATTTTTTTTAGATTTTCTTTATGGCTTACTGTGCTAATTATATTTGCAAATATACCATAGATCTAACTAAAATAATTTCTATATATTTTCTATTGGTGGGATATAGAGCTTTAGATAGACAGAAAAAAGGAGACATTTCCTAGTTATTTACCCAAATTTGATTCCCTTTCTTCTCAGAGATATGCAGCTAGACCACATTTCCTAGCCTCCTCTGAAGTTGGTTTGGACTTGTGGTTTAATTTCTGGTCAGTGGCAGAAATAAAATACACTACTGCAAATCCAGGCTGATAAAAATCTACTCAACAGTCCTCCACTTCCTTCCTACTTCTGCTGTCTGATACCAACATATTCTACAAACATGGGAACACTAGTTAAAAGACAAGTATCCACAAAGTTGAAGCCCTGAATAAATATGTGGAACAGAGCCACTTCTTGAACCTTATAACTATTTCATCTTTTAAAAAGTCTTTTCTGTTCAATTCTTGAAACATTCAAGCCCCAAACTTCAAGAAGAAGAAAAAGGAGTGGTGATAGAAAACTTGATCAACTGGGAAAGCTATACAGACTTCAAGGCATGCATGAACTCCATTATCCACTTCAAAAATGTTCATAAATGGTCTGAGGTTGTAGCTCAGTGGGAGAGTGCTTGTCTCACACATGTGAGGCACTAGGTTCAATCCTCAGCACCACATAAAAATAAATATTAAACTAAAGGTATTTTGTCCATCTACAACTCAAAATATTTCTAAAATATGTTCACAAAGGATAACAAAGGAGATCTTTTCAACTGAGAAGAAACTAAGTTATTCAAGGAACTTGCCCTATTCTCCCAAGATAGGACACCTCACATCACAATGCTTGCCCAGGAAATTTCATGTTTGACATGATCAGAAATTTTATCTTCTATTCTTCTTCTTAAATGGGCTTCTTGCTGCATTTATGTTTTCTGGTTTTAATACTATACACACATATGTATATATATATATTGCTAGCTATATATTATGTTAAACATTGTCTTGTATTATGAGTATGTTTTTTATAAAAGACACCACTCTCATTACTACTTATAGGAAATTAAACTATTAAATATCATACAGATAATTTATGATCTGCTCTTTTAAATTATCCAGAATTATCTCATGCTAGACCCCTCATGATTTACAAATACTAGCAATAATAGTAACTAGAATGAGACAGATACTCCAAGTTTCTTAAGCAAGATACAGTCTCTCATATCTTTGGTTCTATTTATATTGTGTCTTCTTTCCAGACATTTACTCCATTCAGCAAATTTATTGAGTTTTTGCTCAGAAGTTTTCTTACCTATAACATTTTCCTCCTGACTAACCACAAAACTTAATGGTGTCTTTCAGTAGGCTATCACTGATTTTGTACGAACTACAATTAGAATAATTAATCTAAATGCATTAGATTTTCTATCTCTATTTACTGGACAAAAACTTCTTAAAGATAGGTTCCATGTCCTTCCATATCTGTCTCTTGCAGTCAAATGCATAATAATGTAATCTTTGTTAAAAGAAAGACTGTTTTTAACCTTTGTATCCCCAGTGCATTGGAGATAATCAATGTATGATAATGAATTCATAATATTCAATTACATATTAATGGAGAAAAAAGGGAAACAATATAGCTGAGAATATCAAATCAGATAAGACAGTAGTTTGAATCCTGAATCAAGTGTTTGTGAACAATTTATTTAATCTCTCTAAAATTATTATGAAGAAGGATTGTTTTAGGCAGCTTTTTTTTACTGCTGTGAYGAAAAGACTTGACAAGAACAATTATAGGGCAGGAAAAGTTTATTTGGAAAAAGTTTATAGATCTCAGTCCATGGACAGTTAGCACCTTTCCTTGGGGCTTGGAGTAAGACAGAACATCATGGTGGAAGAGTATGGCAAAGGGAAGCAGCTCACATAATGATCACAAAGCAGACAGAGATGCTCCACTTACAGATACAAAATATATACCCCAAACCCACTCCCTCAAGGTCCACCTCCTCCAGCCACATCCTACCCACCTCCAGTTTCCACTCAGTTAATCCCCATAAGGGGATTAATTCACTAACTGGGTTAAGGCTCTCATAACAGAATAATTTCTCCACTAAACTTTCTTGCATTGTCTCATACTTGAGTTTTTGGGGGACACCTAACATTCAAACCATAACAGGGATTATAACATTACATAACCAAGGCTTATAGATGTTTTGTACACTTAATTCTAAAGAGGTTTTATCTTGGAAAATATTTTATACTATATTTAAAATGCATTGAGATTTGTTTGTTTCAAATGAAGAACATTATGGTTTTTAAAAAGGTGTTTTTATTTCTAGATTCAGCTATAATTTTCCGATATAAGAAAGAGTATAGCTAAAAAGAAATTTATAAATAAAAGCTAAACTTAAATCAAAGTAAGTCATTATGTTAAAATATTATAGAACACAAACTGACTAAATTAGAAAAATAATGTAACAATGCATTTTACCTCACCAAGTCTTAAATCCCAGGATTGTTTAGAATACAATTCTTGCAAAGGGACACTGCCCCTATGGGTTATAAAAAAGACAGTATTAAAATTTACTTTACTTCCTCTGAAAGTTGTTGTTCTAAATTATGGTTTCAAAACTTGGCTCCAAATTAGAATTATATAAGAGGTATTTTTAAAACAAAGATTCATAAACTCCATGCCAAGGAGCTTATTTATTTATTAGTATATGTAAAACTTTGCCCTCTGTAGTTTTAAAATCACTCCCTCAAGTAAATTTGGATCTGCAACCAAGTTTGGAAAACATCTTCTAAGTCACTCTCATAAATACATTTAAAATTCAAGATCTAACGTGAGTTTTCACCAATGTTTTTAAACACTGAAAAACTGTAGCTGAAAATATCAAGTCAGTTGTTTGAATTCCAAGTCTAGTGTGAGTGTGTGACCATGAAAAATTTATTTGATCTCTAAGGTTTAGTCTCTTTTGTTATAAAGTCTTCACAGGATCAGAATTTCACGGATGTACATAAAGCTTTTAACTTCTTAAATGCGGAACATTTGTACACTAGTAGCAAGATCTGGGGAAGATTGTTGTTTTCATATAGGAAAAAATACAACAATAATGGGATGGAGGAGATAGTAATCCTGAACACAGAGAGGAGAGGGAGTCTCTGAGAGGTAAATATTGACAATAAGGGGTATGTTTTATTCCTAGATCACAAATTGTTTCATAAATTGATGATGCTTGCATATGCCACTGATCTATAAGTTCTGTTACTCTCTGTTCTGACTTTCAAACAACCAAGCAATCTTCTTATGGAAGGCAAAAGAAAAAAAAAAGGACTTTCATGCTTGTAACCATTTCTATATGTGATGCTTCAGTTTCTTAATGTAAATTCACAAACTGACATTCTGCTCCATAGAAATTTCTTTTTTAATATTTAATTTTTAGTTGTAGTTRGACACAATATCTTTATTTATTTATTTTTATGTGGTGCTGAGAATCGAACCCAGGGCCTTGCACGTGCTAGGTGAGTGCTCTACCGCTGAGCCACAACCCCAGCCCCAAATTTCTTAAGAACTTAAGACAATTTCTCAAATGTAATCAAAATCAAAACTAATATTCAGATAAGAAGGTATTTTGGAAGTTGGCAAATATGTACACCATACTTTCCACTATGGTGATAATATCAAGAATGTGATTACTAGTAACACATCATTATAACCAGGTTGCTCACCCTCTGACAGTAGTATGCCTACCTGACTTTGCATTAGTTCAAACTTCTATATACTACATCCTAATTTACATTCTAATTTACTTACATAGAGTTCACTGGATATTCCTGGATATTTTTCTGTGGTGTTTTCTCTTGGTACACATTGTTAAGTTTTCCTTCAAAAATGAAAGTGTGTTTTAAAAATTTAACACAGTCTATTATCATTTTTCAATACAAAACATATTAGCATGGCACACAGAGAGATCACTAGTCTACAATGTCACCTAATCATCATTATATTTCTGGTTTCATATTTCTCCAAACACAGAAACATACATATAAATATATACACTATAGTTAGTTCAGGATTTCCCTCTGCCACTCCTGCACATATTGAACCCATGGATGTTCAAGTCTTTCAGATAATAATGTTTTTTCAATAATAGTGGTTTAGTATTTGCATATAAGCTACATAGATCCTCCTATACACTTTTTATCATCTCTAGGTTACTTATAACATCCAATAAAATGGAAATGCAATATAAATAGCTATAATATTGAATTCTTTAAGTAAAATGCTAAACATATCTATATCTGGATGCAATTATTTATTTATTTAGGTACCAGAGATTGAACCCAGGGGTGCTTAACCACTAAGCCACATCCTCAGCCCTTTTCATTTTTAAATTTTGAGATAGGGTCTCACCATGTTGCTTAGGGCCTCACAAAATAACTGAGGCAGGCTTTAAATTTGTGATCCTCCTGCTTAGGTTTCCCGAGCTGCTGGGATTACAGCGGCGTTACTACATCCAGCTCAGATGCAATTTTATTTTTAAATTATGTCAATCATTTGGTTTAATCTGCAGATGGGGAGCCCACAAATATGAAGGGCTCACTGTATGTGTGTGGACATATACCTAAGATATACAAATATGTATATTAAAACTGATGAAGTATAGATTTTTACATTTTCCACATACAACACCAACCTTTCTTTTCAGAGCTGATCAGGTAACAATCCTCCTCAAAACATGTGGCAAAGTCATTTATTTCATTATTGTTGTGCTTTTTCTGATAGTTCCTGTTTGGCTGATGTTTTTCTGGATAACTTGTTTTATTTAAAGTAGAAYTACTAAAAGTTGACTCTGGAGCTGTAAAAATACTTCTGTTTCCATCAATGGAATGGTTTTCATCCGAACTTGTAACCAAACAAATATCCCCTAAACTATCATAGCCACATTTGTCAAAGGTTTTCTTTACCCTTTGTTGATCAAGGTCTAATAAATTTATCATATTTTGAGGAACAAAAGAGTCACAATTCTCTGACAGAAGTCTATGTGTTGGCTCATTCACATTCTCCAGAAAACTTGAAACTTCTTTTCCATTTTCTCCCCAGATTTCTTGAATTGACTGTTTTTCAATAATGAAATCTGACTGTCTTCTTTTATCCATGTTCCCAAAATCCTCACTCATCATTATTGCTGATCTTTTAGAAAGTAAATTCTCATTTCCTAGACTTTGAGATAAATTAAAACATATTTATTAAGAAAAGCACAGATCATTTTCATATATAAATACTATCCTTAAACTTTAGAGAACATATTTTCAAATATTTTTTATTGAGTAGCTACTAACATTTACCTGTATTATGTTTCTATTTTTTTATATTTAAGTAAATAATACTCTTTCAGATGGAAATTCATCAAATGTGCTCTCCTAATGACTCTAACGATCTTTTATTGTGTAAAATTAATCTATGCTCAGTTTTGTATTTCAACATGAAAAGTGAGTGCATAGCTCAATTTATTTTTATATTAGCGAAAGAAATTATGAATGACCTATATGTAGTGGTTCTTCTATAATAAATTATAGCAAATAACATAGGCAACCAGAATATGTCACTGCTGCTCTCCATTTAACCAGAGAAAGATAATTAGAAGGCATGTGTAGAAAAGTCATCCCATGTAAAACCATAAAATCACAAAGTTATGAGGACATTATACCAGATATTTCTCAACCTAACAAGTATACAAAAACAACTATAAATTTCCTAACGAAGATATAGGTATGAATGTGCATATAAGTAATAAAGCAAAGAGATAAGGTGAATTAAATGAAAATCAATCAACAGACACTAGTAAGGCAATATGTAAAAACGTGGATGTGTAACCAATGTGATTCTGTATAAGGGGTAAAAATGGGAGTTCATAACCCACTTGAATCAAATGTATGAAATGTGATATGTCAAGAACTATGTAATGTTTTGTTTTTTGTTTTTTTTTTATTTTTATTTTTTTTATTGATGGTCATTCAAACCATTACATAGTTCTTAATACATCATATTTCACAGTTTGATTCAAGTGGGTTATGAACTCCCAATTTTACCCCATATACAGATTGCTGTATCACATCAGTTACCCTTCCATTGATTGACATATTGCCTTTCTAGTGTCTG